CACAGTCATTCAGCATCTCAGTGATGGGGGGAAACCACTGAGTCTTTGAAATTGTCACTCAACTTGAATTTTCTTTCTGAGTGTGTAAAACTTAGTTCTCTAGAGTCAGTGAGATGGGCTCAAGTTAACTCTCTTGGACAGTAATAAATGGAAATAAACTTATACACACATTCAGTGTCTTCATATCATCTTCTCTCTCTGTTCTTTATCTTTTATATCTTATATACCCCATCAAAATCTTTCTGGCAACAAAAAATTATAATGTGGTATAATTATATTTTTCAAGGGAGTGGTTATAATATAATAAATATGTATAAGGCACATGCTTCCCATTTCCCTTATATGAATAAATATCCTATTATAAATAAGAAACAAATTATCCCAAGAATCCAGATGTGACAATGTCTAAACAACTTCTCATATTTTTATAGATTATATTGCAAACAAAGTGTTTTACAGCCAGTTCTCTTACTAGCAGGCTGAATTTTGCAGTTACAAAGAAAGTACAAATAACTTTACCTCTTATATCAAAAGATAATCTTTGAAGGAAAATTGAAAGAGCCACGAATCCAAATTTAAATATATATATATATATATGTATATGTTTATGTATATGTTAAATATATATATTTAAGTTTACAAATATATTCAATTATCTTTATTGTATTTCCTCATGATGCATACCCACTCACCCTGTTCATTGGCAAAATTTTATATCAGGAATCTGATGACAGAAATATGTACCAGGAATTAAGCAACATATTTGAACATCAACCCATCCTAACAAGAAAGGCACAACAAGTTATAATAACTTGGCTATTTCCTTGGCTATTGTTCCTTCATATCAATGACTCCCTCACACAATTATGTGACTTTCTAAGCTTTGGGATATTTCTCCAGGTTCTTCAACTCAAAGCTATTAACAATAACATCTTAACCTAAACTTAAGGAGGTTTATGTATAGTTTAATTTTGGCTATGACACACACTGAAAGCCATGATCACAATTCTCAACATTCATATTTAAAACTCTTAGCTAACATAGCTTCTGGGTCACAATTATTTTCACAATCATTAACTTAAACCATAGTCTATATGTCTCTTCTAGAGCAAGAACTCTGTGTTATTTCCTTTTTCTTATTTTCTATCTTCTTCAGCTCCAGCTGTATCACAGGCATGTCAAAACCCTTTCTTGCTTTTTCATATATTAGTTTTTCCTTAATCTTTGCTTCTTCCTGGTGGTCCATTCTTCTGAATTTTTTTCCTTGTTGAACCAGAGATAATTACTTTTTTATTTTTTTATTAGTTCATGTTAGGGAACAAGCTTGTTTCACATGTAAGTCCCTTCTCCCTCTCCCTCCCCTCACCCTCATCCCTCTTCCCCCACCCCAGACCTACCCCCCACACAATCCACCCTCCACTCCCCAGGCAGGGTAGGGCCCTCAACATGGGCTCTGTAAAGACCACCAAATCTTCCTGTGCTGGTCCTGGGCCCTTCCCCATGTGTCCAGGGCCAGAGTGTATCCCTTCACGTGGGATGGGCTCTCAAAGTCCCTTCTTGCACCATAGAAAAATACTGATCCACCACCCGAGGCTCCCTGGAGTGCAGAGGCCGCAGGGGTCTGAATCAGTTTTGTATTGGTCTCACAGACAGCATCTGGGATCGATGTGCTCTCCCTTGTTCAGGCCAACTGTTTCTGTGGGTTTCTCCAACCTGGTACAGACCCCCCTCGGAGTTCATTCCTTCCTTTCTTCAACTAAATTCCATATTTCAGCTCAGTGTATATCTGTGGATGTCTGTCTCTGCTTCCTTCAGCCACTGGATAAGGGCTGTAGGATGGTATAAAGAGTAGTCATCAATCTCATTTTAAGGGAAGGGCTTTTAGGTTATCCTCTCCACCATTGCCTGGATTGTCAGATTGTGTCATCCTTGTAGGTCTCTGGAGATCTCCCTAGTTCCAGATCTCTTCTCGGACCTATAGTGGCTCCCTCTGATATGGTATCTCTCATCCTGCTCTCTCTCCTCTATTCTTCCCCTGACTCAATATTTATGCTCCTCCATTTCCTCTCCTGTACTCCTCTTCTCCTGCTCTTATTGGGTCAGCTCCCTCTCCCCTACCCTCATGCTCCCAATTAGCTCAGGAGTTTATGCCACTTCCCATTCCTGGGGTCTATTTATCCCTTAGAGTCATTCATGATTACTAGTTTCTTTGGTGAAGAGGATTATAGGCTGGTAA